TCCAAAAAGATTAAATAGAGATAATTAGCCAAAGTGCTTAGCATAGTGCCTGATATATTACATAGTGCTCAATAAACAGTACCTATAACTATTTTATTTAAATCATCACAACCTTTCAGGGAAACTGAGGGAGAATTCACGGAAATAAAATCATTTGCTAATAAGTAACAGAGCCAGAATTTGAACCCCGATCTGAAACCAGTATACTTGCCTCTAGACTAAAATTTAGAATCCACACTACAGCCATCCCCTTGGGGGTGTTCAGTCAATACTTCTTTCATAAATAGGAAAACTGTAAAGGACTGTTTTTTTGTCAAAATCCCAGGCATCAATAAATGCTTGCCAACTAGTTTTCCCCAGTGTATGGCAATGATTCTCAAATGTTAGGGGACATCAGAATTATCTGTTTAAAATACACATTACAGAACCAGATCAATAATTTCCATTTACTTTCTGAGACACAATCTCACTCTGTTTCCCTGTGCCGTGGTGTCATAGTTCACGGCAACTTCAAACTCTTGGACACAAGTGATTCCCTTGCCTCAGCCTCCCCTGAGTAGCTGCAACTACAAGTGCCCATCATAACACCCAGCTAATTTTTCTATTTTTAGTATAGATGGGGTCTCACTCCTGCTCAGGCTGGTCTCAAACTCCTGAGCTCTGGTGATCCACCTGCCTTGGCCTCCTCGAGTGCTAAGATTACAGGTGTGAGCCACCATGCCCAGCCAATAATCTGCATTTTTAATAAATTCCCAGTCAATGAACCATACTTTGAGAATGACTGGAATAATGATATGTTAGCCTATCTATGCCCTAATAGCAGAAGCTAACATACTCCAAAGAAGGGGAAGGATTCAAGAGAGGATAATATTGATCTGGCTCTGTAATGTATATTTTAATCAGTGAAATTGGAGGATGGGGCTTGCTCACCTACTAAATCAAGCACTGTGTTTTGACAGGTCTTCCAAGTGATTCTGATGTACACTAAAGTTTGACAACCACTGTGGTTTTACAAATCAAAGTGTTTTTCTTTTTTTGAGATAAGAGTGTATTCCTAGAAATCAATGTTTTTGTAAAACCTAGCTTCTTACAGAAGGAATAAAGCTATATCATATTTTTTCCACTTTTGAGAACCTGGACTCTGGAATCAGATAATTCAAAGTTAAAATCCATATTCAGAAAGCCACTTAACTTCCATAAGTTCCAGATTCTCATCAGCAAAATGGAATAGTTGTCTCCCTTGCTATAACCTTTCCAGGAAGTAACCTAGAATTATACTCCATAATCCATAATTGGACTTCAAGAAACCTATGGAAGTCACTAGACATGTGAACAGATAAGATTTCTATTACCTGTACACATTTATGGATTTACAATTTATAAACTTAACTATCAGAAGCAATGACAAAGGGTTCCACCTTTAGTAATTTTTTTTTTTCTTTTGTGAGACAGAGTCTTGCTCTGTCACCCAGACTGGAGTACAGTAACACAAGCATAGGTTTCTACAGCCTCCAACTCTTAGGCTCCAGCAATCCTCCTGGCTCAATCCCCAAGTAGCTGGGATTACAAGTGTGTGCCATTATGCCAGGCCTTTTTTTTTTAAGAGACAGGATCATGCTATGTTGCCCAGGCTGGTCTTGAACTCCTAACCTCAAGTGATCCTCCTGCCATGGTCTCCTAAAGTGCTAGCATTATCGTCATGAGCCACAATGCTCAGCAATATTTAATAATTTCCAATTGTGTTAAAGTATAACTTAAATGGAACATTGTGAGCCTGGTGTGTATTTTATGTGTGTGTGAGCAAAGCATTGAGTAAACAAGAGCATCCACCCACCAAGGACCTGATTCTCAGCTAGGTTCCTTGTTCTGTGGCAGCCCATTGAGAGATGCATGAGAAGAGATTTAAAAATTTGGTTTTTGTCACGAAAAAAAATTAAAATAAGTTAACTTGTGTCAGGGTGTGCACAGAAACACAGGACTCACTGTATAAATGTGATTAAATAGGGGCCTGGCCCATAAGCCCATTTCCATATTTGTAAGTTTGGAATTCTTACAGGCCCCCTTGTAAATGTCAAGTATCTACTATGCAAAGATGCTCGCCACAATGTTTTTCTTTTTGTTTTAACCAGCACTCATATTAATATGCAAAACTTTTCTAGAATCCCCAAAGTGTGCTCACATCACATTATTTATAATATAAAAAGTACAAATAACATAAGTGTCCAATCATAAAGTAAATGACAAAATAACCCAGTGATGCATATATATATAATGGTATATCAGAAATCAGGTTTGGCTGAATATTTAACAACCTGGCAAATACATTATAATGGTAAGTAGAAATAAAAAATAGGTTACAAAACAGTATTTATAATACAATCCCATTTTATAAAAACGTTTATACTCTAAGTCAAAACACAAGAGTTAAAACAACAAAAAAATGAACAGTGGATTGTGCCAGATAGTAGACACATAGATGACTTTTATTTCCTTCTTTATTCTTTTTCAGTATTTTTTATAATAATCATGTTGTACCTAAATAACCAGAGGAAAGTTAACAACATCACTTAAAAGAAAAATATTGTAGGCCGGCGCCTGTAGCTCAGTAGGTAGGGAGCCAGCCACATACACCAAGGCTGGCAGGTTCGAACACGGCCCAAGCCAACTAAAACAACAATGACAACTGCAACAACAACAAAAAAACAGCCAGGCGTTGTGGTGGGCGCCTATAGTCCCAGCTACTTGGGAGGCTGAGCCAAGAGAATTGCTTAAGCCCAACCAGAGTTTAAGGTTGCTATGAGCTGTGATGCCATGGCATCTCTACCTAGGGCGACAGCTTGAGACTCTGTCTCAAAAAAAAAAAAAAAAAAAAAGAAAAATATTAACTCAGGCTTGTAATCCTAGCACTCTGGGAGGCCAACACAGGAGGATCACTCAAGTTCAGGAAATCAAGACCAGACTGAACAAGACCAAGACCTCATCTCTACAAAAAAAGAGAAAAATTAGCCAAACATGGCAGTGCATGCCTATAGTCCCAACTATGTAGGAGGCTGAGGCAAGAGGATCACTTGAGTCCAGGAGTGTAAGGTCGCAGTGAGCTATGACGACACCACCATACTCTACCCAGGGTGACAGAACAAGATTCTGTCTCAAATAAATAAATAAAAGAAAAATATCTAACTTTCAGACTTGAGTGTAAATTAAATAACTTATGCAACATCCCTATCATGGGGTCTAGTACACATAAGCACTCAGGAAACATTCATTCCTGCTCCTTATTCCCAGAGTAAATACGAGTTAGGGTATCTAGATTTCAGGTAAGAGACCATATTCCAGGTCTGGAACTTCCCCCACACTTCCTGTACAATCCAAAGCAAAGGTCACAGGCAAGAGATTTTTTTTTCAAGAAGTCACATTCATTCATTCTAAAATATACTCAGCACCTATTATATGTTTAGCATTGAACTAGGTTCTGGGGATGGAAAATATGAAAAGATGACATCTCTGCCCTCAGGGAGCTCTGGCAAATGAGTAACAGAGACATATTTGTAAGTACAGTATAATGAAATAATTACTTTTTAATAAGAATGCACACAAAGTACAGTGGAAACCCAGAAGAAGGAGGCCTTATACAGAAGAGGTATTCTGTGAGTTGTAAAAGGGAGAACATTAGTGGAAATAGCATATACAGAGACAAAAAGGCATAAAGGAATACAAAATTTTCCCACAAGTATAGATCAGACTTGCTAGAATATAAAGAATAAGAGGGGAAGAGTGCTAGGAAATGAGACTGAACAAGTAGATCACAAAATGCCTTGTCTGTCACATAAAGGAGTGTGGGTTTTCTCCTATAGGGGAACCACTGAAAGAATTTTAAGCTGTGGAGTGACTTGATCAGCACTAGCAAAAATATCAGTAATCCTGAAAGACATCTTAATACCCACTTATTTTCAGGCCAAAGGAAAACCCCCCCACCTTCTAGGTTTGTCCCCTCTTAAATAAAATAACATGAGGCAATAGACAGAACTCTGTGCCTAGCACACTTAACATGTTCAATAAAGACTGGTTAAATATAAATTTGGATAGACTGTATGGGGGTGGTCCCTGCTGAGGACAGGATTTTAGCAGCACCAGCACCTTTAGCTTGGTCTTGGGCATGACAACAGAACATCTACTTTGGAGCTAGAAATTATAGAATCTATACACAACAGGCGAAGGGTACCATATACTGTTTTGTTTTACTCCAGTACACAAAGCCCTCTTAAGACTCTTTCCATAGCTGGGATTTAAATCCCAATAATGGGATATTATAGTTTTATTCCAAACACTAACATTTCTGGAATCTTGAGTGGACAGTTGCTCATATGCACACGTGGTTAACTGAAGGACATTCAGTAGTGGTTTTACTTATACAGTTTTTACCCTGTATTTATTCTGTTTAATTCAATTTATTTGGATGGCTCTGCAGATAAACACTGTAGTAATAAAATACTGATGCATTTCTGCCTCCATTTATGGAGTGTATGCAAATTGCTTTACATATTCAGAAAGGATGTATTTGCTATATTTTATAGGTGAAGACAATGAGGCTTAAAGAGGCAAATCAACTTGCCCAAGGTCACTCTGATAGTAAGTTGCAAAGCCACAACTCAAATCCCTCTTTGTTGTACCTAAGTATCACAAAAACGCAGGCCTGTCTCCCCCAAAGCCAGTGTATGAGGAAAACACAATTGCCTCGATACAAAAAATGATACTTTCTTTGTAGCTAGAAGAGAAAAGACTTATAAACCTAAAATTATATATATTCAAAAGAAGAGTGAGAAACCAGTGGCCAATATCAGGTAGGCTCGGCAAAGAGGGATGGAAGAACGTGGAGCCAGGAGTGGAGTTGGAATTAATTTTTAGGGGGTGGAGGGATTAATTGAGTCAGAACCTTAACAGCTGAGAAAAGGAGAGAGCAAGTGAACATACCTGGCCACTGTACCCTGTCCAGCCCTTACCTGCCATGAAACCAGTCCTGGCACATGTCACACTCGATCATGAAGCGGGTCACATCATAAGGCAGCCGGCAGAGGCAATACACTGGCACTGAGGCCATCTTCGCCCCGCCTTGGAGGTTTCTGCGGCGGGCCAGGTTCGTAGTGTCAAGAGGGGCGGGAGGCGGCAGCACAGAGTCCTCTCTGGATAATGGCTGGGCACAAACAACACTTTTTACAGAGTGAATCAGCCACACCACCAACGACAACCCTCAGTTCTCAAACCGGGAGTTAGCACTGCTGGGATGCAACACAGCTGATGTGGCTGTAAGGGGGCAACGGAGAAAGTCCACTCGGCCTTCAGAATTTCTTTCACACGTAAAAGACAGAGCATTGTCGAGGCTTCCCCTACCCCACGTACACACACATCTTCAGCTCCAGAGTCAGAGATAACTTCTTTCCGGGTTTCAGGGAAATATCTGAAGCCTTTTCAGGAAGCTTCCTTAATGACTCACTGAACCCTCTCCTTGTACGCCCCTTGCTTCCCCAGGCTCCCTTTATTATGACGCAAACCACAGCCTAAAGATATTCTTAGGCTGGGAGTACCTCAAGAAAAGATCCATCTCTCCTCCACAAAATAGGGACAAGCAGAGAGAGAGTAGAGATCCTTGAAAGTCTGCTCAGGTTACTTGAAAATTACCTCAAAGCCCTCAGAAACAAGGCAGAAAAAAGACTAGGCACCCAACTGAAATCACAGTTCGGTGGGGGGGGGTGGGGAGGAGGTCGTGTTCTAAAGAGTTTAAACGATCCTTTCCATCACTCTTAATATCATTCCTTCCTCGACCATCCGTAGTCCAATCACTCTCAAAACTGAAATAAATCACAATTTCAAAACTGATCAGCTCGTCCTCTAATCCAAAGATGACATGGTTCTCGGTGCACCCCTGAAACTGAAAAAGATCTCTCCAAAACCTCTGAAACTGACTGGAATTTCCTCACACTCCTGAAACTAAGCAAGGATTTTTTCACCGCTCGGAAACTGGCAGGCATCTCCTGCAACCCCCTTAAACTGATAAAGTCTTCCCTGACGCCCCAAATGTTCGGGTATCTCATCCTAGATACAGAAACTGACAGGAATATCCTCGCAACCCCCGAAAACTTACGAGAATCGCTTCACGCCTCCCCTACTGACAGGAACCTCCTCAGTGCCCCAAACCTGACAAGAATTTCTTCGGTCCGGAGTCCTACAGGCACCACCTCATACCCAGAACTGCAGAACAGCCGCGGAGCTCAGTCCCAGCGACAAGCCGGCGGCCGGGCTGGCTCCACGATAGCGCTGCGCCTAGCTCAACGGAGGCTCGCCAGGCAGTTCCGGCCCCAGCGCTTGCGCGCGCCGAATTCTGGGATCGTCACTGTAAGGGTGCGAACCTTGCTTGCCTTCCTCTGGAACCACCCGCTGAGTCGCGCGGCGCCAGCCGGCCAGCGGTGCTTCAAGGCAGCCTGCTCCACAACACAACCCCCAGCCCAGCCGCTCGGGCCTAGTGGAGACCGCGGCTTGGGCCTAGTCCAGTCGCCTGGAGGACAAGCAAGTGGTGTAGTTGCTGGGCCGGCAGGAGACAGCAGCAAGCAAACCAACGAAGAGATGGACTGGCCGCCAGGTCCGAAAAAGACAGCCCAAAAAGTCGCTGGGAGGAGCCCAGTGGGGGGCGGCAGGCAATTCAGAGTAGTTAATAAAGTTAATTCAAAACAACGAGGAAGTTAAGGCGGAGAGGGGAGGAGAAATACAGGGTAAACAGCTACCATATTGAGAGTGGCGGCCCAGCCACGGAGAGCCAAGGTGACCGCCATCTTATGAGGGCAAGGCGCGAGACGTAAATGCTGCTGAGGCAGGGACCCGCTAGCCCTGACTCCTGTATGAAGTCATCAGGAGAAGGGGAGGGGGGGCACCTTGAGAAAGTAGGGCGGTGCTCAGCTACCTTTAGTCTCGCTGGTCTCCTCAAGGTGCCCAATAGCTGCGGGAAGACCTTGAGCCGAGAGGCGGGGAAGTCGCCATCTTAGGCGAGGCAGACCGCTAGGCTCCATTTTGAGTGAGGCTAGAAACTTCCTAGCCTTTCCCCTCCTCCGGGCAAACTGGAAGTTAAGCAACCCTCACACGCACACTCCTTCTCCCCAACTTTCTCCTCCTATGAGAGAAAGTGAGCTTAGTGACTCCAAACTGCAAAATTAATAGGTGGCGGCGGGGGCAGGCTTCAGCCGGGGTAGAGGCGGAGTTCTCTCCGTGGCTCCGGTTCATTGAGCATCTTCAGCGGCCTAGGCTTTTTCCCAGAATCTGGGACTTGTATTTTTCGCCCTGTGAGAGAAGCTCTGTGATTATCGCCAAATGAGGACACGGACTTGGAGAAGCCGAGTGACTTGAGTTTCAGAACTGGGAGGTTAAACCTGGCTCCCTGTACGACCCTAGTGTTCCGTCCACAGCCCCTCAGTGTAGTTGCTCAGTCAAGATTCTGCCAGTTTAGCTCCCCTGAAGTATTGCTTTGGCCCTCCTGTTTCACTTCAGTTCATACACATTTCAAGAATATCCATGCACCTGTTCCCAGCCTGAGGGTAGGGTAAGAGGAGAAATTGAATGAGTGGAACTGACTCATGCCTCAAGGTGGCACTAATTTTCTCAAACATTCTAGAAAATTCTCTGGGAGTTCTCTATTTAACTTTTTTAAAGGGTCCCATTGCTTTAAAGAAGAAAATGTGTGGGCACACACTAATTTTCTAACCAGTGATGGTAGGTTAGACCCTGGAGATACAATGATAAAAAGAGAGCTTCTGCAGTGGGATCCACCAGCCAGTGACAGGAGACAAGCTTTGGGAGACCTGGTAAGCACACAAATACCTCCTGTGAAATTACTTTGGCAGAGTGCAAAATGAAGCTAAGAAGGAGCCTCAGAAGCTGCTTGCTGTTTTAAGGAAGACATTAGAGAGACTTGGAGGATATATAAAAGTTCACTAAAACTATATTGTACACAAAAGAATAGGTATGTACAAATAAATGGAGGCACGTGGGAAAACATTTGAACTTGAATTTTGCCGGAACAAAGGGAGAAAGTTGGGTAGGGAGTCAAACAGTGTGAGATCAGATCATGAAATATTACAAAATGCAAAATAATTCAGATTTTTATCCTGTAAACAACAAGAAACCACTGAAGTTTTTTAGCAGTAGTAACTGAATGACATTTGTTTTGTAGCCAGAGACTAAACATACCCACCAAATCAACTTCCCCTTAGGTGGATCTCAAAAATGTCTGAGGCAGCTCCAAAACCATTTAATGCAAGGCCTTCAAGTGGAAAGGGACAGCAGTTTGAACAAACTGTGTTTTGAATATATTTTGTGTACTTTATAAAACATACGACCATGTAATCAAACAGCAAGTGACAGGTCCTGTGGCTTAAGCTTTCTCCTTTCAGAGGGAAGCTGGAGGGAGATTATTATTTCACTAGTCTGGAAAAAAAAAAAAAAAACATGAGGCCTGAACCAGGGTGTTTGCAGAAGAGGCAGAGAAAAATCAGATAATTTGGATATTTTGTAGGTTGAATAGGCAGGATGTGGAGACTAATTGAAAATAGTGGATGAATGAGTGAAAGGGGCATGAGTTCATTTTGGGGTTGAGTGTCAAGAGTGGAGGGGTCCCACTGACTGGGTACAAAGAAGGAAAAGCAGGTTTAGTAGGGGGTAAGAGACTAAGTTTCATTCGGAATATGTTGAGTCAGTGTGTGTGGGGAACATTAATTCACTCATGACAATTCTTTATCCATCTACTACTGGTATGCTCCAGACACTGCTGTGCTAGGTGCTGAGGATGTTGAAGTATTTCAGGTAAGGTTCTGGCCTTAAGGAGTAGATATTATACTGGGGAGAAATCAGTCAATAAGCAAATAAAATTTCATTAATACAAATTTTGAGCACCTACTGTCAGGCACTAGGAATTTAGGGGCAAAGAAAACAAAGAGGCTCGGCACCTGTGGCTCAAGTGGCTAAGGTGCCAGCCACATACACCTAAGGTGGCGGGTTCAAATCCAGCCCAGACCCGCCAAACAACAATGATGGCTGCAACCAAAAAATAGCCGGGCATTGTGGCAGGCGCCTGTGGTCCCAGCTGCTTGGGAGGCTGAGGCAGGAGACTCGCTTGAGCCCAGGAGTTGGAGGTTGCTGTGAGCTGTGATGCCACAGCACTCTACCCAGGGGGACAGCTCGAGGCTCTGTCTCAAAAAAAAAAAAAAAGAAAAGAAAGAAGATCCCTGCCGTCCTGTGACACATACCAGCAAGGGAGGCAAACAATATAAAATAATTTCTGGTTGCAGTGAGTGCTATAAAGAAAATAAGACAAAAAAATAAAATAAGACAAATTATAAGTTTGAATAATTTGAAGGAAAACTAGTCTATTTTAGAGTAGTCAAGGAAGGCCTCTCTGAAAAGGTGACACAGGAGCTGAAGGCATGAATAACAAGAGCTAGGTAGAAACTAGATCAGAAGGAATTAAAAGCCCTAAAATTGTGGTGGGCGGACTGGGCAGAGTACAGGTTCTTAGGAGGTAGCATTTGACCTAGGTATAGTGGTACCTACCCCTACTCCTAGAAGTTCTCCCCACTCCATCTTTGAGAGGTGTCAAGTGGGGAGCTAAAAGATACTGGGAAAGGTAAAGCTGTTAGGGGGATGAAGCCCATGTAGATTTGCAAACAAAGAAGGTCTGCCACTGCCAAGGGTGCCCTGGAAATGTGTGATTCTGTCCTGAACTGACCACCATAGCTGAAGGCTTCGCTGGAAACCTTCCTCTCCTACCCCAACTCCACTTAACAGTTGTAAACATTTTTTTTTTAATTACACACATAATAGGAAATGCATTCCCATTGTAAGCATTGAAACTGCTAGGTTGAATCCCCTAAAACTTGATCCCTGCTTAACTCCCTAAAAGGAAGCTCAAGAGGCTTCTTTTCCCATTAATTTATTTGCATATATGTACATAAAACTATTGAGATGAAAAATGGTGAGGGTTAAAGTGAGCTATAAAATATTACACATGAGAAAGAGGGAAAATTACATGAGGAAGAACAGGCTTGCTCCAAAAGTACAAATACTGTATAGTGGAAATAATGACAAATAACATCTGAGAATTTACTGTGTGTTAACCATTGTTATAAACTCTTTACCTGCATTAACTCAATCATTACAGAAACCCCGTGAGGTAGAAACCCATACTATTCTCATTGTATTAATGAGGAAACTGACTATGGAGACTTTAATTCACTTTTTCAAGGTCACATAGCCAATATGTAGTCAGACTGGGGTTCCTAGTGAGGCAGGTCCAGAGTCTAGACTCTTCACCACTCCATTATACTACTGATGTGGATTGAACTGCAACTGATGTATTGATATAATGGGGGTAATCAACAATTCTTTCAATAATTTAAATCACATAAGGAAAATATGGTTTGCACACCCTTGAAATAAAAACTAGCAGGATAATGCCTCAGATGAGTGTGCTATCTGCATAGAACCCTGCTCCCAGAAGTGGCCATGGACTTAGTTTATTGCTGTCTTGAAATTCTTAATTTTATCTTTGGACTTGTGTTTTGTAAGTGTAGTCCAATATGACAATGGAACAGAAGAGATATGCTAAGTG